TAGAGTTCACTTCAGCCGTTAAAGATCAGACTGAGAGAGGACTAATGAAACTAGTAGATTGGAAAGGAAAGAAGAACATTACTGAAGAATCGGAGACTACTGATGATGATGAGAAGAATAATGATAAAGAAGAAGAAAAAGATGAAAGTGTACAAGATAGTGACAGACCTAGTGAGAAAGAAGATATTGAAGAAACAGAAGATGTGGTGGAACAAGTAGAGGATAACACAGGAATTGAAAAAGAAGAGACAATATCATGATTGTAAAAGATTATTATAGTATTATTTTTAAAGAACGTTATCATTCTGCATAATAATAATAATTATACTCATAGTTATACCTAAGTTCAAATATTCTTTATTAAAAAATTTCATGGTGCTCTTTGAGAAATATATGTACATGTACAATGTACTATGTACTATAATTGAACATTTGTATTAATAGTTATAACAGTTATCCCACATGTTTCAAAATGAGATTATGGCTGTCAAGAAGATGGAAAATTTTACTGCTCATTTTCCTGATTATATTCCTTTTCACTTGGTCATTTATCTCTAAGAAACTCTTCCATCATGTTTCAAAATATCCTCAAACTAGCTATACTGCTACCAAGTGGTCACTAAAGACTGACATTAGGAGAGGCAGCGATCTTCATTATCATTCACAATTTCACTCCATCACTGATACTAAACCACTCACTAATCTTTGTCCTCATGTGTTTATTATTGGTTCAAGGAAAGGCGGTACCACCTCACTCTATCAATATCTCTCGGCTCACCCTCACTTTAATGGGATTAGGTTAGACTGGGGTCCAGTGGCTGGGGAAACATGGTGGCTATCACAAGAATATGATGAGAATAAAGTATCAGAATACGTACAACTCTTTCACCATAAGGAAGGTTTTATAACTGGAGAAGCAACAGTAGATTATCTTGTTAATTGTAAAGTACCGCTTCGTTTAAGAACCCTCTGTGGTCTTAATGCTAAGATTATCATGTTACTACGTGATCCAACCCATCGCTTTATATCGGATTATTACATGAGACTTCATATTAATACTAAACGTTATTATCCTGGATCAGATTTTAATACCAGTGCTAGTCTTAGTGAAACTATTGAAAGAGAATATAATAAGTTTATAACAAGAGCACATAGACAGTTTAATTCCACTAATGATCATACTTTTCTTCCTACAGATTGGAGGAAATTGAAGTGTCTTTTTCGAGAAGCTCAAAACCTTTTTTACGAAGGACTATACTATTTTCACATTCAAAACTGGTTAAGCAGCTACCCTCCTCAAAATATACTGATAGTTCCCAGTGGAGCATTGTTTAGTGATACTGTGACAACTGTTGCTAGAGTAATGGAGTTTGTGGGGCTGGAGAAGCTTAGTGTTAGCAAGATGGAGGACATCACAAGGTCGATTTATAACTATGGTAGTTATGATCACTCTGGCATCAAGGAGAAAGATATAAAGAGACTAAATGAGCTTCATAGACCTTTTAACCAGCAGCTATTGCATTTATTAAAATGGGAAAAGTTTTAAAATTGACAATGGTAATTGGTAATAATTAGCACCTTTGAGCTACCGCCCACGCACTCTAGCTAACGCCCACATAGACATAACCAAGTTTTTATTTCCGTATTCTCTCCGTATAATCTAAAATCATGGGACCTGTGTTGTTCTTGCTGATTTTGCTCTCTCTCTTAAACAGCCTTTCTCTCTCTGCCCCGTATTCCTCCGACTGGGAAAGCTTCCATCAATACACTATAGACTATTCTAAACCTTATATCAACGACACAGACCATCTCATTTATCGTTTCAAAGTATTTCAGGTAAGTTGTAGTTTTCAATGAGCCACGCCCAATGTCACGTGATCCACAGGAGAGTCTCCTCAGACACAAAAGGCTGAATGAGTATGAGTCTCAAAATGGTGGACATGCTACGTACGGGGTTAATAAATTCTCTGATTTGACACCTGAAGAATTTGCAAGTAATAAAAACATAATTGTTATTATTATTATTATTGTTGTTGTTATTATTATTATTATTACTTAGATACTTATCTTTTATATCGTCCATCTGCTCCTCCGCTAAATGACAAGATATCAACTAGTTTTATTGCTGAATCACCTTCAGTTGTAGCAGATCCAGTTACATTTGATTGGTGAGAAGGAGAGAATGTACATGTACATATAATAATGGTTAATAATAATGGCTAGGAGAGACAAGAACGTCCTTACTTCAATAAAGAACCAACAGAAGGTATTAATAAGTATCATTTTTGTATTACTTTTATTTTTATTATTAGTGTGGAAGCTGCTGGTAAGTTAGTTGTAACTGATTCACATATTTCATGATTCCATTCCTATAACCTCATTCCTATAATTCCATTCCAAAGGGCATTCAGTGTAGTAGAAGTGCTAGAGAGCAGACTAGCAATACAAACGGGTCAGTCTCCGGTTTCACTGAGCGTGCAGGAGGTAATATCCTGTGAATATTATCCCGACCAGGAGCTTAATGGTTGTTCTGGAGGTGCTCTTTACTACGCTTTTAAAAGACTACATGTGAGATGAATGTCCAACCTATTTCTTATTTATTTATTTATTTGTTTATTTAAGGATGAGGGTAGGGTGATAGTATCAGACAGTGTATATCCATTCGCCAGCAGTGATGGGAACACTAAGACTTGCAGACAGAATTTGTTAGTTAAATTAGACATTACATTTCACCATCTTACTCTCTCTCTCTCTCTAGGCCACAGCAAGGTGTAGTGCTAAAGGAATACAATTATACTTCTGAGTTAGTTAAAATTATTAATCTTATTAATATATAATTATCTTGTTTTAGCATCGATGAGAATGTAATGGTACAATATGTATTGAGGAATGGTCCCACTTCTAATTCAGTGAATGCTGCAATGTGGCAGGATTATTCCAGTAAGAAGAAGGAGCCATAGTAACTAAATCATAATATTTTAAATCCATTAATACCAGGTGGTATAATACAACACCATTGTACTTCAACACCACTAGATCATGCTATCCAAGTGATTGGATATAATCTTGATAACAGTGAGAGAGAGAGAGAGAGAGCTGTGATATTGAGTTTCTTCTCCATAGATCCTGTACCTTATTGGATAGTTCGTAATACCTGGGGCTCAGACTGGGGCGAAGGAGGTTACGTGAGGCTCAAATTTGGGGAAAATACCTGTGGTTAGTATTTAAGAGGGTAAGGATGCTCATTATGTCTTTTGATAGGTTTAGCTGCTGAGGTGGTTACTGTGTGGAACGTCACGTCAGTGTGACAGTCATGTGACTCATAATTTTAAAACCATTTTGTAATGTTTTTAATGCAAGCAATAATATTTTTTACAGCTAATAATAATAATTAGTCATTATTAGTAGGCGGGGCTGGATTTGTAGTTTATGGGTGTGGTCACATCCGTTTTTCAAGATGGCTGAAACTCCTGAAGAAAAGGCTCATAAAAAAGCAGCGAAAGATGCCATTTCACTCAACACGTCGGTCCTCTCTGATGCTCTAAAGAATGATCCTATCCTCCGGAGTGTTGTGCAGAAATGTGTCGAGAAAAAATATATGAATACATCAGAAATGGATACACTTTTTGATCCATACACTGGTCAAAGTCTAGCTCAACGTGCTAGCAACTTTGTATCTAAGATACAATCTGTGGTTGGGATTCTTCCCGGGAAACTGGACGAGTTTGTATGCATCTTGCACGAGACTGGTAATCCTGTGGCCCATGAAGCTGCTAGAAAAGTAGCTGAGAATTGTAAGTTGATTCTACTGTCTAATCAGTAATGGATTCTACTTAACTTTGCATGATAGTCAAGCAGAAATATGTTTAACACATGTTCTGTTGTGATAACTATGTTACGTATGAATTACAGTACCTGTTACATATAATGGTGCCATTGTTATACTATATTATCATAGGTACCTTCATATTGCCTCAATATGAGGAACTGACGTCTGTAGGATCTCTTCCTGCTGGCCCATTATCGCCACACTCTGGTAAGCACACACTATGTAGCATGCATTCTTAGATACAGGGAGGGGAGAGGTTAGGAGATTAGATTTGATATAATTATAATGTAAACTTTATTTTTATTAGATTCAAACTTAAGCATCACTGATTTAAACACTGTACGATCTGCATTGAGAGATGGAAACTTTAAAAAAACCAAATGGATGGATTTAGGAGAAGAGTTGGGTCTGAGTGTCAATACACTGGATGTTATAGAAGCTGATCACAATGGTGCTGATAGGAGGCTTCGAGAGTGTTTAGTAAAATGGCTTGAAAGAGCAGACGAGGTTGATGACAAAGGAGGAGCAAAATGGAGTGTGCTAGTAACAGCACTTAATACACTGAAGCAAAAAGAAGCAGCAGATTACATCAGTAAGCAGTTTTATCATTATTATTATTATCATTATATTCTCTTCTCTCTAGAATCAAACTATCTCAAGAATTAAAGTGATGATGATGTCATTATAAATATAACTTTATGTACATGCCCTAGCTCAGACATTAAATTTTTCTATTGCTTGTATTTTTTATAATAATAATAATTAATTTTATAATGCTTCAGCACTTGACAACACGTGTTTGCAGTATACGGAGTAATGGTGTGGGTGTGGCTACTTTAATTTTTAACCCTTCAAAGTTCAAAGAAATGTTCAGCCTATTAAAAGGTCTCTGGGAGTATTTCTTTAGAAAAGACGAGTACTTTGTGGTTATACTGGGACTGGACAACGCTGGGAAAACTGTAAGAGAAAACTAGGGACACAATATCTACAATAAATATAATAATTATTAATAAAATATTATGATGATATTAATAATAATAATGATAGTTTTAATAATAATAAATAGACATTTTTGGAGACTATAAAGAGAAGATATATCAGTAACTATCATGGAATGCCACTGGAGAAAATAAGCACCACAGTAGGACTGAATGGTAACTGCAATAGTCCACTTTTGTAATGTAAAATTTATATTATGTTTAGCTTATTTTTGCATGGGCTATCCAGTAAATTTTTTATTATTTTTTTAGTTGGACGTATTGACGTTGGGGCTCAGAGACTTGTACTGTGGGATCTCGGAGGTCAACAAGATCTTCAGACACTTTGGAATGAAGTACTGAAATGACTGATATACAGTCTTCATTGATACAGCCTCCATTTTGTTAGTATTATGCTGAATGTCATGGAGTTGTCTACATGATTGATTCTTGTGATAGACATGCTCTTCAGATATCCGCAGAAACGTTCAGTAAGTGACACCTATACACAGTCAGTGACTATTGTGTAATCATAAAAATGGAGAATTCTCTCCTTTTTATTTTTGGTAAAATTTGTCCAAATTTCCTGTACTATAGCACAGGGACTTTAGTCCGATTTTGGAGTAACTTTAAAAATTCGTAAAAAATTCAATTTTGATTGGAATCAGTTCAAACTTTCTACACAACATAAGTACATGTACATACATCAGAAAATGTAATAAAAATGGAGAATTCTCTCCTTTTCATTTTTGGCGAAATTTGGCCTGTGACCCTGTACTATAGTACAGGGACTTTTAACCGATTTT